GTCTCCGTGGTAAAAACTCCTAGGTTGAGAGCATTCGAAACCAATGAAAAGAGAATAGGGAATTTCGTGGCAACGATGGATACATACTTTGTGGGAAGAAATGCCGCCGTGTTACAGTACACACGATTTGCCTATACGGATCGAGCGACGAGAAGGCGAATAAGCAACGCCGCGACTCCCAAGCCTGGAAGATTTGACGAGGAATGGGCGGGATTAGGCTTAGCGCCTATGAAGATGAGAGGCAGGACCGAACTGCCTGAGGCCTCCTTGATCCTGACTAGTGTGAAACCGGAGTTGACGATAGTAGGAACGCTACAGACGAGAACCTTCCTAGCACCCTTCGATTGTGAGGAAATCAAAGTGGTCCATGGAGAAGAGGAAGATAGATCGGCCGGTACATTGATCATACCGAAGTTTCCGGAAGGAACCGACAATGATAAGCAAGGACCCTCGAGCTCAAAGAAGGATATGTCAGAAGGAGATGACGGACAGGGAGGAAGTCGTCAAACCGAAGAACCCATGCAACAAGATGCAAATCAAGCTGGTGGGGAAGACGACAGGGCATCGACAGGAGGAGTATCCGGCCTGGATTTCAATATCTTCAGAGATCTTGAGAACAACGCGGATACGTTGGAGACGAATGAGCCAGCGGATGAAGGCATTTCGACACCGGAACCTCCGTCAGCCTTTATGGAAATGAAACGGAATTTACCGGAGAGCAGCTCTCTTGGCAATTCAAGAAGTAACGAACAAAGAATCCTCATGGAATCACCTAGAAGAAGAAGAATAGAGGGCTCAGCCATAGTATCTTTCTTGGGAACGTTGCCCCAAGAGGAGTGGGAAGTACATCACCGAGACCATGAAAGTAGGACGGGATGTAGATTGGACAGAGTGGCGTTCATGGAAGACGTCTGGACAGTAGTTCAGAGCTATGGGACCCAGTCCATTTTGAAAACAGGTCTCAACCGACCGTTGATGCGGGAAGTCCTTGATAAACTTGATGAGTGTGAAGATAGATTGAGTGAGTTGTTGATTGACTCAGCCACTGATGAAAGTGAAGCGAACTCTCCCATCAAGATGACACCGCAGGACGATAAAGAAGAGGTGGTGTATCTGTCAAGAACCAGGAAAGGAACGACGCGATCGAAATTGGTGATTGATAAGATCAACGAGATGAAAATGAAGTTAGGCAGCAGAGTGATGCCGAGGAGAGTAGGAAAGACGAAGGTGGACTCGGAGATATCGATGAAAGCTGTCAATTCAGCGAAAAGGAAACGAGTCGAAGAGGTCATGGATTTGGGACAAGGTGATTATCGATTGCCTGGCACGGATAAAATGTTGACTGATATAGCGATGGTGCCACCCTTTCTCAAGGCGGGAATAAAGTGGACAGGGTACAAATCCAAAAGGAGTGACCGCACTCTGACCGGAGCGACCTTAGAACTGGAAATACTCAGCCAATGTGGAGAGAGCTAAATGAAAGACTTTAAGCCATCTGCCATGAATCACGGAAAGAGAAGTGTCGCAGGACAACTAGTACCAGTGGAGTATAACCGACTGACAGTATCGGAGGCTGTGTCGATAGATGAACCCGCCGGTGGATACATGGAGATGTTGGAGTACCGAAACTCGGCTAGAGGGTATGTGATGGCTCTGGAAGACAAGAGTGCCATGGAGGGTTATCTGGAGACATTGTTGCAAGGCACCACCCTCAAGCAGAAAGCGTACGGGACTTTAGCGTCGTCTGAAATACAGGCAGAAATGATGGAGCAATTGGTGAGCCTTCCATGGAAAGCAGTGGTGTTACGGTACTTCGAAGAAGAGATGAGGACTGCGCCAAGAATACACGCTCTCACGAGTAGAGTAAGAGTACCTTACGTGAGAACCGAGTTACAACTGAGGTTTGCCTGGTGCATGATGGGACTGACTCGCGAAGAATATGATTCAGAAGAAAGGAAGAGGTCAAAAGAAGAGAAGGTTTTCCTTATGACGAACCTGAGGGATCTGATAATCCAAGAGGGAGCAGCAGTAGCGTGTGCGAAGCGGAGAGACGCTCTCTGTTTCATTCGATTCATGATAGAGCAGATTTCAGTACCTCCATTGAACACCTGTGTCAAGATGCTAAGGGAGGGCGATGTGCGAGCGAAAGCCTTACTCTTGTTAGCACTGCTGGATATGCAGCAAAGCAAACCGATGAGGGTGAATATGAAAGAACACGAGGAGTTACAGCCCCATGAGAAAGTGATTCTTCGATTACGAGCAGGCAGTGTTGCTAAGGTGCCGGACGTCGAAAATTGTAACGATTAAGAGCGCTACCAATCCTCAGATCAAATTGGGACTGGTCTTGAAAGAAGAGATGACTGCACCTTCCGTACCAAAATCCGACAAAAGAGTGGAGTTTGGGTTGGGATTCTCAGATGAATTACTGAGAACGAGCGTGATGGCAGTGTGGGAATTGATGAGGCCATTATGGTGACCTAGTCCCAACGCTGACTCGATATTACGGGCGACACAAGACGTGCAGAGGGAGCTGAATGTGGACTGTAACCTGCGTGACTTTAACATCATATATAATGTGATGATAACGGCCTCTATGAGCAACGGTGAAGATAAAGTGGAGTTGCCTGGCTGGGGACCAGAAGACTGGGTCAAACCTGGTAGCTGTCTGGCGGAAGTCTGTGGACTGGAAGTTCACGTTTGTAGAGGTCTGGACTGTGTGAAGAGAAACAACACAAGCAATTGACGGTATTGTTTGGAAACGTGGTGATGAAAGCAAGAACGGAAACGGAACTGATAGCGGATTGTCATGGAGGAACCGAGGTGAATCTAGTGACTGCACTAGGATTCTACAGCATGTTTAGTTCTTTAGAGTCACTATTGAGTCTAGAACAGAGACATGAGATGGTCACTGCCATCAGTGTAGAAGTATTCCCAGGAGTTCTGCAAACCGAGCAGAAACACATAGGAAAACGGAGGGAAGCGATCGAGGCGGAAATGAACATCAGACACAGTGAGACTTATTGTAGACCATCAGGAGCACGATATTTGGTGGGCTCGAGATTGGCTCCAATGTGCAAGAGCAGATACCCGGTGCATTTCGTAGCTGTGGATGTAAGGAGTACGAAAACGATCGTGGATCAAGCCTTCTCAGTGCCAAAGTGTGTGAGACTAACAAGAATGTCCGAAAAACGTGGATCCCCTACCTTCTTGCAAACAGAGGGTAGAAGAGCAGAAGTGTTGGAGGACTGCTTCCAACAGCGTCAGAATAGCTAATGATGTGTTGCAAGACACAGAAACTGAAAGTGCAGAGTCAGTATCACAGGAGGAAGAGATGGAACAATGACAAATGGCCGAAAGACGAGAGACAAAAAGAGACGAAATTAGAAGAATTTAGAAGTTTTAGAACTTCTAAACGAGAAAAAAAAACAAAGGAGTGATGAAGAAGAAGTTGAAACTCAGAATTGTTTTATGTGTGTGAAAAAACTCATCTGAGAAACCAAGCAACCAAGTTGTAATTGAAAACTGAAACGTTTAGTTGAGTTTTGAATTTGTTGCATTTAAAAATTTGTATTTTGATTTTTAGTTAAGTGGCTTTAGAGACACTTACTTACTATTTATTTAGAAAGGCTTGAGTAAAGAGTATATTTAAACATTCCAGGCTGCATGATTGTTTTTAACCAACTAGGAGAACTGATCACATTGTGGTGATATGAAAGGCTTGGGTAATCTCTCGAAGAGGGAGATTGTTTCATTGTTCTTTCTAACCACAGGGTTTCTTAGTTTTAATATACAGGACAATAACAAGCAAGATTTCCGAAGGTAACAAGCATAGTAGATAAATTTTAGCTTGTTGGTTGGCAGGACTGTCCTGCAAACCAACACCTTTTAAATCTAGGAGAAAAATTTTTTAATCAGGATCTTGACATTGGAAGTCGGAACAGATGTTTTTATCTTAGGTCATATCCTCAGTGTGCAGATTAATGAAAGAATTTGAAGGCAATAGTGATGTAGTATGATGCCATTTATGTTCTGCAGTGAGTCGATATGACGCGGATAAAAGTAATTTCGTGCATTTTGTAAATTCTGTTCGATGACACTGTACATATTTTACGAACATTGCGCGATTCAATGAGGACATTGACCGGACTGTCCGGGGAGTATGTGACATTCGACCAGAATGGACCAAATTGCAGATTCAGCAGATTCGAGTTTTTTTTAGCAGCGAACCTTCCGAATTGGCGATTTTTTCTTAACCTCACATGTGACTCAAGTAGGCGACTGTTACACTTATAATAGAAATGTTGTAGCAATTCAATAGTAAAGAAGCCATAAATTTTCCAGAAAAGTCCTGAAAAAGCTAGTAAAATAAATTTTCAAATTTTTTTAGCGCCATCTTTGAAAAAAAAAACTAAAATTCGAAAAAAAAATTATTTGTGATTCTTCGAATAGAACTGTATGACAAAACGCCTATTTTGCTATGAATGTCGGAAATGCCTTATTTTAGTCTCCCTGGCAATACAGATTGCGAACGCCGCTTGCGTACTCGTAACAATAAATGACAAAATAACTTTCGACGAAATTTTTTACTTGTAACACTTGTATATTATATTATCTCTTGTCGAGTTGCGTGTTCTTATTGAAGAAACGTAACCCGTATCGATTTTAATTGAGAAGGACTTGAACACTTGTCATCTTCTTTTATCATTATCACTTCCATATCTAAAAAGTTCCAAGGATTTTGACTGGAATACATGATGAAGGGACTCATGACTGTAACCTCGGTTACTATGATACTTTTGACCTTCTGATTACCCTTGAAAAGAAAAAAAAATAGTTCAGATTCGTTAATCACACCACGCAAAGAAAAATGAAGATTATTGAAAAACATTATTGAACATTACTGAACTTTTTTTGTAGTTTAGGAATATTCTTGGAATATTCTGTGCTACGTGCACAGCAACTGTCTATTCCTGTTTTGTTTTTGGCAGATTTTGTATCATTTTAGATCTCGTGCAAGGCAAATAATGCTCAATATCCTCCGGACTGTAAAAACTCCGCATGGAGTGATCAGAACAATAAGATACAATGACGCATGCGAATACGCTATTACTACTGGAAATGATCGATCAATTAAATTATGGAATCCGTTGACTGGGGCTCTTCTTAAGTCATATTCAGGACATAGTCAGGATGTTCTTGATGCTGTTTCCTCGACTGATAATTCTGAAATCCTCTCCGCCGGAGGCGACAAAGCAGTGTATCTTTATGACGTCATAACTGGTGTCATTAAGAGAAGATTTTTAGGTTAAAATTTGATCTTTCGAGAATATTTAATTATATTTTTCGGTTACCAAGCTCATCTTTGTTCAGAGCATTTGAGTAAAGTCAATTGTGTCAGGTTCAATTCGGATTCGTCACTGATGCTGTCGGCTTCTGATGACAATACAATCAAGTTGTGGGACGCTCGATCTAAATCAAACGCGGCCGTGCAAACTCTCAGTGATGCATCTGATGCGGTAACATGTATCGATACATCCGATTATGAAATTTTATCATCCTCCCTTGATAAAAGTTCTCGAATTTATGATATCAGATTTGGTCAGTTGATTTCTGACTTCATCGGCGACGAGCTTACGTTTTGCCGATTTGGCGGTGAAAACCAGTTAATTTTGCTAGCAGCACTCAACTCGACTATTAAGCTGTTCGACAGAATGTCAGGAGGGTTATTCAATGAATACGCAGATTGCAGCTCGGCCAAGTACAAGTTAGAATGTGCTTTTGCTGTTGACGACAAACTAGTAGTGAGTGGGTCTGAAAACGGAGGTCTTTGCGTATGGAATCTTATCGACTGTATGCTAATCTACGGTGGAAAAATTAAACAAGTAAGCTTTCAAATACATTCGAACAATAGAAATAAAGTTAAACTGAAAGTGAACATGGATTTATAGCTTTGAGTTTGCGTTTCAGGAAACAGCAGCTGTTACATCTGTTGTTAGTCATTCGAAGGAGCCCTGGATTCTAGCCTCACAGGGAAATTTTTACCATCTGATTGATTTATCCGAAATTATGAAGTCATCGAAAAAATGAACCAAAATATGTTGTTTCTTTGTTTTCCTTTGTTTCATGCGGTTTTGTCAATCCAAAAATTGTGCTGATGTTTAATCTATTTTTTATTTGGATATTTGAATAAAATTCGGTTATTAAATTAAAGATAAAACGTCTGGTGGTACATACCGTCGAACTGTGCACTAAAATAGTTGCTTTGGATTGTCAAGCAACTGAGTTTAAATATTAATTTTGCTTTCAGATGAACAAATAATGTTTGCGTTCTCCTAATTCTCGGATTAACGAAGTATTAGAAATTGAGGTGAGTACGCGATTTATGGTAGCGTCATTATCAATTTCTACTTCGCCGTTTATTTAAAATGGTAGGAAATCGGTGCCAAACAATTGGTAATAAATTTTTCAATATGGTAGAGCAAGTGTCTTGTAATCGGGTAACCAGACTTTTGTTTCCAGAAAACATTTTTCTTACCGTCCAAAGGTCTGTCGTTCGAAATGTGGTATTCAAGTTCAAGCTATTTGTTCACATAAGTTGGTGCAAAGGTGACGCCCATACTTTGGACGGCAAGAGACCGTGGCTAAAGCCCTGCCACGGCCACCAAATTTCTGCTGAAACTTTCCGCTGACTAAGTTTTGGACTAGCAACTAGTTAAACAAAGTCATTTAAATCATTTATGATGTTGCTATGCAGCTGACTCGCTGAATTTCATGAAAACTAAAATTTAACTACTGGGTGGGTACTATTCACTACAGGGTAGTTTCAGGGGGACTTGAAACTTTTAAAAGTTTTGTTTACAAAATCATTTTTTTTAGCTCATTGCGGTCTGCTGAAAAATGTTCGGCCTTGTTTCGGCTTCGTAAATCTTGTTCAGTTGCTAATTTGAATTTCAAATGTCTTGCTTGGTATAATTGCCTTGACTTCCTTCCTGTTTGATAAAAACAGGTATTATGAAAATGTATGGGATTGGGATTTTTTTGAGACGCTTTCGATAATTTCATCACTTTTTTTTCCAAGAAACCTTTCTACCGATTTTCAATAAAGATGTATTCATAGAAAGGCCGTCTACACGCTGGTCTCTTTTTGCTTTACCCTTTTGTCTACAGCCTGCGGGTCTGTGGGGGGAATATTTGACCGATAGTTTTGGTTTTTTTCGTTTTCTCAAAAACTGCCTACAAATCTTAGATTTTCGTTTCAATGAATAGAATGGATTTGAAAATGTCCTCTCCATAAGCGGCTACGTTCAAACTTTTTTTACAAACTAAATTATGGCCCTCGGAATTTAGAAATTTTTGATTTTGTTTGACCGTTTTTTGAATTTTTTGATATGGAGATAACAGATAGTGGAGGCTCTTTTGCATTAGCGGCCACTAACAATTTTTTTAACACAAAAATTAGCGTACTCAGAAAATCAGTTTTTATGAATTTATGAATTGTACTTAAAATTACCCTACCCTATCTGAGGTTTGGGTTCAATCCAAAGAACGAGTTATGAGAAGCTCTGTCGCATACGCACTCATGCCCAATTTTTTTTGACACAAAAAATTATGGCATTCGGAAAAATCAAAATTTTGATGTTTTGACAGTTTTTTAAACTGTTCTCGAACTACCCTGCCAAACCAAAGTTTTAAAAAAAATTTTTTTCCTTCACTGGAAAATTACTCTACCTGCTTTCAGCCGTAAAACGGCTTTTGGTATGTTAATTTTTTGAATTTTGACCGTTTTTACAAACTTACTGGATTTTCCCAAAAACTACCCTAACCAATCTGAGATGAAAAGTTCAACCGAAAGAATCGGTTGCGTAAATTTTTCCTGCAGAAGTGCCTACGCCGTAACTTTTGTAAGAACTGTTATGTTTTTGTGAAAATTCCGAAGTCTCAAAAGTATCCCTCTTCTCGCTTATTTTTGGAGAGAAACAACTTGTTTTTTGCAAAATCCAATTTTTGAAATTACGCATTTCGTCAGTATAACCAATTCAATGTGAGAAATTCAGTTAACCGCATCAGTATAACAAATTTTTAAAAAAAAATCTATTAAGTACCATCTGCTTTAGTTGCGCCCCAGATGTAGTTCATCGAGACATACGAAAATTTCGATTCACATTAGTTTTTCAAGTTTTTTTTTTCATTTTTTTTAATGATTGTGTTGTCTCACAGGTGGTGCGAAGCTCCGCCTCGCCTCTGTGCATTAATTTCGCTTTCAAGAAGGGGAGCTTTCAATTTTTGTTCAAAGAACTCAAAATAAGCACATCGTGGAAAAACATTAAAAATGCCAGTTTGCTGCCTATCGATCGGTGTATTCATGAGCAAACAAAAAAGAATACACTTGAAGTTCTGACTACTAAAAACTTCCATCAAAAACTCGTTGCCACAAATTTATAGATCCCGTATGCGATGCAAGATTTAATTCAGTTAATTGTTTTAACAATTCGATGAGTACTGAAATTTTTCGTGCAATGCATAAAAATGAATAAATAATGAACGAACCCTATTTTTGAGATATCTCTTGTGGCTCGTCATTTTTTTTGTTCCGCAACCTGAGCTTACAGTATTTGTTTGAGAAGATTTTTTTAAATCTCTGCTAATGACTGATTAGTAAGCATGTGTGCTGCCTCCTGATGATTTGTGCACTTTCTGTTAGAAAAGAAAAAAAATTAAATATTAAAAATTTGGCTTCAACTTTTCATTTTTTTTGGGATGCATGTTTTCTGATTTTTTGTAAAATCTATAAATGCGTTGAAACAGGTTTGCTGTGCTTAGCACTGATCAATTTTTTTCAAATCGATTCAAGTTGATGGCATAGCGTGTCGTTTCCATATATAAGCAATTTTTTTCAACAAATCGTGATTTTTTGCAGTTTTCTTTATTTTTTTGTTCTATTTTTGCTGTTATCCAGCTATCAGAACGTTGTGTTTCAATTTCATATTTGATAAGCTTGTTGTTTTTGGGTTTTTTAAAAGTTAACTTTGAGAGGTTTTTTGGTTTTTCTGCAAGTTCTTTTTTGCATTCAGTATTTGGTAATTTTTTTTAATGAGAATTTATAGCAAATGTTGGAGAGGTGTTTTTCTTAGTGCCTAATTACTCCTAGGATATGCAAGTTGTTTGGGTCTAAAGTTTTAACAAAGTGTTTCAGTATATCAGGGAACTTTTGCATCTCTATATTTGACCAACGTTTTTTCCTCGGTTCTATCTATTGGTTATGAGAAAATAAATGGAGCCTCCCGAATATCACGAATCCTCCTTATGTTGTAGGTATTTGATTTTTATAGCAATTGGAAAACAATTTCTTCAGTTTTCAGCCTCCACTTCCGTCAACAGAATTTGAGACACCGTATAAAACATGTATGGTTTTAGGATCGCGAGTCCAAGTGCATCAAGTATTTCCTTCCATCCAAAAAAAGTGACCATGGAAGCCACATGTAGCTCCAGCGTCATGCAAGACATCACAAGCTCCAACACACATTGCGGAATGAAACATAAGCTACAATCTGAGAGCGATGACATACAAGGACGATTGTTGAGAAGTAAATTCGGAGGTCAAATTAGTCCTAGTGCAGCGCTAGAAGCGTGGAGAGAGAGGGAGAGAGATAGACCTAGCAAGAAGTTGAGGACTTCCCAGACCGTTCCTAGTTCCCCAATATGGCAAATGTCTCCGGGCTATGAGATCAATTGCGACTGGGCGCCACCTTGTGGGTCCACAGTATTAGTAGGGACCAGTAGCAGTACAAGCGGCGGGGGAACCAACCGGACTCTGAGTCAACTGGTAGCTAATAAGTTGAAGAAGGAGAGAGAGAATTTACTAGAAGACTGGATACTGGAGCTGAAGAGAAGACAACAAACTCCTCAGCCGATAGAAGAGAAACAAGAAACATTAACTGAGAAGCACGAAGGAGTGGGAGGAGATAAGAGCGGAGGAGATGGAATACAAGTCAAACCCACTGTATGTTTATTGACTAAACATTCTATTAAAGTGAATTGGCAATGCTTGGTTTCATATCAAGATTTTTTTTGCGAAAATACTTCGATATAAATCGCCAACCGCAATGAAGATCCAAGTATAAACCGAAAGTTCTTCGTATCATGATAAACGATACAGTCGCTGTCTTCTTTTTATTTGTTCTGTTTTGAGATCAATTATGTCTCCGAAGTTATAAAGATCTTTCTACGAAAATATGACCTCAAATAGCGATGAAAATGAAGTTGAAAATCACAGCAATGAAGCGACGATAATCCGCTTCGAGTCTAACAAAGTTAAATGCGAATGTCCTAAGTTGTATTTATTTAGAACGATGATTTGGCCGCGATGAGGGTACGGGTGCGAGAGGAGGTGTGTGCCGAGTACGACAGACACCTAGTCCAGGTAGAGTCCAGACTGAAAAACGAGTTGGAGTCCCTGGAGGCGCGGGAAGAGTCCCTGACTAGTGAGCTGCGGACCCGGGATTCCCAGTTGACAGAGGAGAAGGCTAAAGTGAAGCAGTGCCTGGAGATGTTGGAGAGTGAACTGCAGTGCTCAATCTGTTCTGAGCTGTTCATCAATGTGAGTGCCTCCTGCTCTACACCTCTTAGCTTTTCTTCGCCATACGAACATAATAAGAGAGTGAAACTAAAACAAGTCACTCCTCTCTTGTTGACAACATTTCGTATAATGAGTCTAAAGTACTCAAAGCGAAACGGAGCTAAATGCTCTCGCAAGCTAAGTGGAGGCACTAGGCACTTTCGATTCACAGACCCATCGCCTAACTGAACATTTTTTGAAGCTGTTTCATTTGAACTTGTTTTTGATTAACCTCTGTTGAACTGTGAAATTTGTTGTTGTTCGCGGGATATTTTAACGCGGGATATTCCTTTTAGATCCAAAATTGTTTTCACAAATATGGGTTTTTACTCGATCTTACGCAAATTTTTCAAATTTATTTATTTTTCCATCTTTTGTTTTTCCAATGTTTCAACATGAATATTTGAGTTGATTTGTAGCACATTCAGTACTTGAGGCTTTTACTAAGTTTTCCTTAATCGAGCTCTTGAAAGAAACAACACAATAGTGGAATAAGCTTTCACATAAGCGAAAAATATCGGGGAATCTTTCCCCCTTATTTTAAGCTTCAATTTCAATAATGCCTAAAAATCCCTGCTAGCAAATGAAAACAGCCGTCAAATGAACGTGCGGTCAACTTGTACTGTAACACGTGACCAAAATAAATTATGCGAAGTAGCGTTTCTTTTCACGTGATCTGAAGAGTGAATGCGTGAATGAATATCAAATAGCTGAGAACAAGAAAGAAATGTTTATATTGTGTAGACCTTTTGGAATCATTTTTCCATGCTTCGCATACACAAATAGTAGAAATTGAAGATATACCAACCACTCTGTTCTTGCATAAACTATGAATCAAATCGCTAGTTTACATTTACTTTGCTTAATGGTATGTATATACTATGCCAAAAGAAACGAGAAAAGACTCCATTCAGCTCGAAGTTGAATTATACTACGTTTCTCGACCATTAAGATGAGAGAAAAAACTGAAAACATGCTCTGTCGCTGAGTCATGATTGACAAACCACCACTACTCGAGTTCGTTAGAAACATGTTGATAATTTAGCTCGATCGCCCTAACTATAGTTTTTTTTTCGTCAAGATAAAACAAATGGAGTATATGCACAAGTATGAGGGCAAAACTCTGAATGTTTTGATCGTCTTTCAGTGGTTTCCAGTAGCTTTTGGTAAAGAACATTTTGATAGAGTAGAAAATCTGCACTGTCAATATCAATTATTAAGTGAAATGTTTGAGTCGTATAAGGAAACAAGACTACTCGTATCAGGGCAAACCTTGAATGTTCCGACTGTTTTTTGAATAATAGTGTTCGATTTCCAAAATGGATCACCTTCTAAAAATTTTACGCTATTTGAAGTACAAAGTGATATATTTCGCTTTAGCAAAGTATTCATTAGACCAAATAGCTTGTCTCGATTCAATTTGGAACGATTTCCCATACGGATGAAGTTTCGGCTTACGCGTTAAAAGCACGAAATCTATCGCGCGTTAATTGTACCAAACTGGCAATCTTTAAACCCGCGTAACTTAACAAACACCAGTGATCCATCTTTTTAAATTTGAGCTTATGATTTTAAATTTGAGCAACAATACCTAATGATTTTTTTAAATCCGAAATTCAAAAATTGATACGTAGAAGTCGAAACTTGTCCGAAGAAAGAAGGATCAATAATATGACCAATTTAGCTTGCCTAATTTCAATGCTGAATAGTTATGCGTGCGGGGATAATAATACGGATTACGATTTCATCATTATTAATCAGTGTGTTCAAAGCATTAAACGAGCAGTTTATGCAGGCTTGAAGCTCTTCTAGGAAAATTCGTAACTCACGCGTTTGGGGAAATTTTGGGGGAAAACACGCAGGCTTTTGAGCCCCACCCTACAATTTCTCAGAAATTGTTCTGAATAAAAAAGAACCCCAAGGCATATATATTCCTCACTACTTTAGAAACACAGAACAACGAGACTCCTCATATCAGGGCGAAGTCCTGAATGTTCTGACTTTCTTTTAAGGTCTATGCAGCACTAATAACGTGAAGAAAAGAAATGTACTAAAGTTAAAATATTTTTTTTTAAAAAAGATTTGAAGTTTTTGTGAAACATCTCCCCGCACGCCATATAAATTACAAAGTGATGAATTTCGTTCCTTGTAACATACCAATTAAGGCAAATAAGCTTCCTTCAACTAATTTGGAACGTTTTCTAAGACGTATTAAATCTACGCTTTCGCCTCGATAGCGCGAAATTTATCATGCGTTAATTATCCCAGTTTCACGAAAAATGATACCAGGTAAAATATCTTTTCAAATTTAAGCTCAGGTAAACAATTCCTTTCAAATGATGTTAAAAAATTCAGTCAAAAATGGCTAGTTAAAATATCGAAACTTGTCTGAAGAAAGAAACCACTCCGAGCACAAATTTTCCGTCACTTTCATCAAAGTAGGATCTATAATATGACCAATTCAGCTTTCCTAATTTCAATTCAGAATAGTTTTGTGCGGGGATAATAATACGGATTACGCTTTCTTCATCATTAATAATCAGTGCGTTCAAAGTATTAAACGAGCAGTTTACGCAGGCTTAGAGGGTGCTTAGGATAATGCGTTACTCACCCGTTTGGGAGAAATTTTGGGAAAACACGCAGGCTTTTGAGCCCCACTCTAGATTTCTCTCAGAAATTGGTCTAAATATAAAAAGAACCCCAAGCATATATATTCCTCAATTTTTTCGAAACTCAAAACAGCAAGGCTCCTTCTATCGGGGCAAAGCCCTGAATGTTCCGTCTACCTTTTATGGTCTATGGAGCAAAAATAACTTTTTAATATTAAATGTAATAAAAATAAAATATACATTTAAAAAATATGTGAGAGTTTTTGTGAAAATCATCCCCCACATGCCATATTAAGTACAAAGTGATGAATTTCGCTCCTAGTATCAAATCAATTATGTCAATTCAGCTTCCTTCAACCAATTTAGAACGATTTCTAAGACGGATTAAATTTTTGCTTACGCGTTACTAGCGCGAAATATATCGTGCGTTAATTGTCCCAAATTGACCAAAATGGTACTCTTCGAACCCTCATAATTTCATGAAAAATATTTCTAGGAGAACTATCTTTTTAAGTTTAAGCTCAGGACAACAATACCTTTTAAATGATACAAGAAAATTCTTGTCAAAAATGGCTAGTTAAAAGTCGAAATTTGTCTGATGAAAAAACTAACCCTAGCACAAATATTCGGTTACTTTCGTTACGAAAGTCGGAACAATAATAGTTTGTCAAATTCAATACTAGTAGCACTTCTTGTATTGCGCGTGGCGGTGAGTGAAAATTAGATTATTGAATTTTCTTTGTTTTTTCTTGAATTTTTTTACTCGATATAAAATTTACACATTGTATGGTAATGAAACATTCTAAAAAAGCCTTAGAACATAAAGGTCAACAAAACATAAGTTTTAGGCTGCATTAGACTAATAAAAATTGATTTAGTGATTTTTTTCAAAATGGAATCAAGCTATCGGTTATTGTTGTTTCATTTCTTGTTCTGAGGAAAGCGATCCATGTTTTTTGTATATTTTTCGATGTGACCATGCCAGCTGTTAAATCGGCCGAAAATCGAACAAATAATTCGATTAAAAGGCAACCAAAATAAATTAAAAGACGATGAAAAAAAGGGTTTGAAACAACTACGTAATGATTTCGGATTGATACAATTAATAATGTAATAAAGTTTGATAATTTTAAAGTTTAAAGTAGGCTTTCTCGATCTTTGCAGCGTTTCAGTGCCTTTTCAACTAGACATTGACACTAACCAACTTTGATAGTATAATATAAATAGTTTTTAAAGAAGACCCGAAAACAAAAAGTGAAAAAAGAATTATTGTTTCAAATAAAACTGCTTTGGGTAATAAGCAGTATTTATCATTGCCTCGAGTTTAGCGCAGCTAACAATTGTTTTTGCATAGATTGTTGAATCAGATTGTGAGTGATAAGTGTCATCCAATATCATAGTCGTAATTTGGCCTCAAGCCCAAAGATGAAACGATCAGTTTCGTCCGGCACTTGAATTATTTCGGCATTTATGTTCCAATTTCCGACTACAAAGGTCTTTTATATGGCACATTGGGTTTCCTCAGGAAAAAAAAAACACCTTTGTCAAGGAAATGTTTCCGGCACACCCCCTGTGAGTGGTCAGACGAAAAGTATATGATTTATACATTGACAAATAGGAGCAATGCACCGGAAAAGTCCCGTAAGTGTTTCTGAATGATTTGATAGAAATGAAAAAAAAGGTAGTATTTCACCAGAAGTTTTCAATGAATTGGTTTTTTTTAATCATCGTGAGCATTTTTGCTAAATCATCGAAGCAACTTGGGAATTTTTAACGTTTGAAACCCAGAATGTCAGCGGGAATTGAAAAAGCAACGTCTTGCTGAAGCTTAACTAACTGAAAATCAAGTTGAGCACAGAAGATTTCACCGAAAAGTTCGTCTTATTTTTATGGCAGCATGTATTTGGCGGACCATTGAAAAAAAATAAGTCCTGTAAATTTATCTGATTTAATATATCTAAGGCAGTGAACAAAAAGGTTGAAAAACAAATTGATTGGGGTAAAATATCTACAATCATACCAAACTTCAGCGAATCGGGCTTCGTAATCAACAAATTTACACAAAATGCAATATGAGAATCAATATGTAGATGAGATAAATGTAACCTAGACTCGTGTGGGTTATATTGGCAGCGCTCATGGCCAAATCGATATCGTTTTTGGTGTCGGGTTTGAAAAGGTTTGTTGAAATGAGCTCGAACATGAAAAACAAACAGTTTTATGGAAAAGTTAAAAGTTGAGTATGCCTTTTAGTCATCATTTTCTTTAGATTATCATTTTTTTCTTGTTTCGCATACACTCTCAGTGAAATTTTCAAAAAAGTAGTAGAATGTATATTGAAGAGTGTACTTTCTTCAATTCATTATTCTAATC